TCATCTAAATACCCAAACTTGCTTTTATCAGTGGCAAGTAAGCAAATAAGTCAAAATTAGAACTGCCCACAATTTCAGATACACTTCAAAGCAACAATTTTAAGAAACAGAACTAAGCCGACGCCGGACGCAAATATTACCGACGAATGTGAGAAGAGACAGGTGTCATTTTATAGTCGAGGAGGCAGCTGGAAGGCCAGTGCAGGTTATGCGAATTGCCAGAAAATGACCACCCCTGCGGAAATCAGGATTAAAATGTATAGTTATAACTAATTGAAGACACGCGCAAGCTGGAAAAGGGGGATATCGAACTGAGACGAGCAGGCTGAATTTATAGTAATGCAATTTTGCACACTAAATAAACAAAATTAAATCATTAATGCGGCAGTATGAGTGCTACTTGGCTTAACGAAATAAACATTGAGAAGAAGACTCGATCTCTGGGACAATACGTTTATTCGTCTGACATTTCGTTTTGAAATTTTCATTAAATGGAAACGGCATGGCTGCAGATTCTCGCCAACCCAAGCTGGTCTATTTTTTGTTGAGTTATTAATGGAGTTAATCAGGATCTAAAGCTAAAAAATTTGGGATTAAGTTGCTCTGCAGCGAATTTCACATGTAAGGAAATGAAACTGGCTTAAAATAAATCTTGCAGACTGATCATGTTTATACCAGTATGCCAGAAATTAGGCGTAAATCGAAAAAAAGAATTTCGCGGGGTTGACTACTGCCAATGTCTCAAATGCCAAATGCTTCTTGACATATTTTGAGGATAGACACTGAAACAAAATTCTACAGTGATAATAGAAAGTCAACCCTACGCAGGACAGCACTTGTGTCGCCATAATCAGTAAAAGAGAAGTTGGTAAGAGCAATGCTCGGTAATGACGCTGAAATCGTCGTAGCTCAATTAGTAATGCTTTTTCAAAATAGAAAACTGCGAGAATGAATGATTATTCGAACACAGTACGAGGAGCACACTGGCTTAACAGCTACCGAAGACCTCTGTTAGCTCTCCGCATAGGGGCACAAGCGATGAAGTGGGGAGTTCTTGGCGAAAGGGGGGGAGATACAACACAGATAAGTATAGTTGCGACGGCGAAAAGAAACGGGCAGAAATTTCAACGTACTTTAACCTCCAGGGACATAAACTTGTGGTGGCCCAACGCTTGCTGCTGTTATGGTTCCGAACAGGGAGAACGCGAGAGCCATAAGTAGCAATTAAATGAACCCCTACGTGACACACAATACTCCCTGTCCTCAGACAGCCTCTGCACTTTTAGTGAACTGGAAAAAAATGCCTGAAACTGTGCAATGTAGACAAGCCAAATAGTTTTTAGAGTCGTTTTAAGTGCACACGGCAGCGGCGTTAATCCATCTTTTTTTTTATTATAAATGTTCCAATGCGAGAGCCAAAGAGACGGATTCCAAAGCAGCGCTATTTAGTGGGAAATGGCGAACGCAAAAAAGAACACACAATGACAACTCATTACTAATATGGTCAATTAATAGAGACAACCAGCTACCTTGGAGAACCTACACCAGTGCCAGACAAAGAGTAATGGCGTATAGACGAGAACAAAGCTCTGGTCGGTATGACTCATAAGTAGAGAATACGAGGAGACTGCTATTTGCCATTCTGTTCAGGGTTTGAGTGGTTGACAAGAGTAACCTTAGTCACAGAGCAGAATTAAGGTGGTCGCGCCTTCTTTCCTACCTGAAGGGAGCACGTGGACGTCGAGCGTTTTGTAGACAAAAATGGATAGGGAACAAGCGATAGAGTACTTACACGTTCCTCTGCCTCTTTGAGACGCCAACGAAGTTTTTCAATCTCAGCATTCATGATACGCCGTTCCTTGACTTCACTGAGTTTCTGAAGAAGGGATGTCACCTAGACACGCAGGAAAAAAAATTTAGATAGCGAGAACAGGTATGTTGTTAAGAGTGGTCATGGCTGCCTCCCGAAAACCCAGGATGAGGGAAGTAAAACAAGGACAAAATCACAAAAAAAGGTCAGCCACCAAAACAAATAAGAAAGCTCATCTGACACAAACAAGGAGGACTACGGCTGTCCAACGAACACTGATGATTTTCGATGCATCTTCCTCACCCTTTACTCAGACCCATCACCCTTCGGATGGGAAAAGGAAGTTTAGACGACTGGAGATCGGCACACAGGGGCAAGGGCTGGATTCATGTCATCATATTTCATAAAGGCCTCAAAGAAGGCGAGTCTTCTATCGCACAAATGTGCCACAAATGTCACATTAAGGGAGGGCCACTAAAGTCCAGCCCTTCGGTCTGAGTAGGACCGATTTATCCGATCATTTAGCAACCCTTAAAGTTGTGTCGTGGCTTTAAGGCAGGAAACTAACCTGTTGTACCAGGGCTGGGATAATCTCACTCCCTCTCGCCACTTCCACGTGCCAGTGACTGCAGATGAACATGACGCAAGCCTCCGTCTAACGTGCGCCATGTTCAAGCACAGCGACAGCTAAGAATACACGCAGACTTGGGGCAGCCCAACTAACGCATGAATATATTACAGCCCCGTTCTAGTTAGGTGTGACAACAGGCGCAGTCTATTCCAAAGGCAACAGAGGGAACTCCTAAGGCAATATGCCATTTGGCTGGAGTGTAGGACACCATCTGTTCCTGAATAAAATATCGGATATCATTTGTCTACGTTGGCAGGCTAATTTTGAAATCACGCATGACAGTGCTTCTCAGGAAGTATGCATGATGCAAGTTGGACGTAGCAAGAGATATAAGTATGCAACAACAATTGATGGTGACAGGCTTACAGAGCTCACTTAAAGAAAAATTCAAGCGACATCAAGGGAGTAAATGTACAGTGAAGTGAAATGAAGCGAACAATAACTAACGTGTAAGTCCACCATGAAGGAGGAAAATAGAACACTGAGCCACTAAGATACGTAATGCAACGTCCGGCGCATTTGAAGATATGGGAAACATTAGAGACAACGCAGACTATAACGATTTTTACTAGTTAGTTGTCACGCGCATCAGGTAGACTCCACATCTGCCTGAATTTAAATTTTGCACAGATATAAGTATTACGACCGTCAACTTCCGGCGTTTAATTCGGTATTTCCTAGCCCGGTGGCTATTACTTGATGTCATTATAGAGCCCTTGCGTGATGGACCTGAAACGTGGCATTTAATTAATCTCCGTACGTCAAATGATCAAAGTCGATCGTTGTGTGGCACTGTGTTTGTATGCTGGCCCGTTTCACAGTCCTTTGTCCAAACTCCTGTGACTATTTAATCCTATTTTGTAGTTTTCTCAATGTAAATCTAAGGACCCAGGCTAATACACTGATTTGCAGCTCTCGCACCTTCAAATATATGAATGTTCAAGTGAAAGTCGTGTGCAGCAACTTTGGGAACCTATCTGCTAGCCCTATTGGGCGTATGTATGATACTGCAAACGACTTAGCCAAATCTGTTAGTTAATTGGTTCGAAAGACTTCTCACAATGTTCGCGTATTGCTCATCATAGGCGTCAGTTTTGCCCCCAGGCCGATGCAAAGCACAAAGTCACATTTATCCTCCTTGCAAGGTGATAAATGTAAGGAACTAGGATTAAACCAAGTCGACGGTCTAGTGTATGGGGGGAGGTTGTTTTGACAAGGACAATATATATTTATGGTGATTTTGCTTGAGGACTGCGTTGGAGGTTCGTGAGTGCCATTGTGAGAAGTCTTTCGAACCAATTAACTAACAGATTTGGCTAAGTCGTTTGCAGTATCATACATACGCCCAATAGGGCTAGCAGATAGGTTCCCAAAGTTGCTGCACACGACTTTCACTTGAACATTCATATATTTGAAGGTGCGAGAGCTGCAAATCAGTGTATTAGCCTGGGTCCTTAGATTTACATTGAGAAAACTACAAAATAGGATTAAATAGTCACAGGAGTTTGGACAAAGGACTGTGAAACGGGCCAGCATACAAACACAAAAGCGTGAAGAAAGCGGGATTATGCAGCGCCGTCCTCAATCTCAGGTTCTGACCGCTACTGGCTCCTAATAGCAAGGTTAGGTCAATACACTCCAGACAGTAGTCTAACAGGAATCCACGCTAACGCGATGCTACGCCCTCTTTTT